TTTTCCGTATCTTTTCCCTCCATTACGTTTTAGATTAAAAAAATTTGTTTATCTAAAACGGTCAAAAAGTCTATTTGTCGCCAGTTTTTTACTAAGGTTTCGAATTTTTGTAAGATTTATCCGGCTTATTATTGGTTAGATTTATCGGTTTGGGTCGCCTAAGTTCGCCATCAATTTCTCCTCTCTGATAAGCTTTAGAATGTTACTCTTTCTATTTAGAGGGAGATCTATATTGTTCTATCATAGATATATTTGTCTGTTTCTCATCCGCTATTTTTTTATCTTGAAATAATTATTTGTTAAAGGGATCGGTTTTGATTCATTTTTAGTATTTTTGCGTGTTTCCTTCGTAATGACTCATAAATATTAGATGACAAATATAGATTATTATTTAGGCCCGTATTTATAATCACGATTCTGCTGAGACATTCATCTGAAACTAATTTTGAGATGTGTACGGTTTAATAAATGAATCTTAAGAATTAATATGGCATTAATTTATAATCTTGATTCAATAGAAATACTCAGAGGAAGTTTGTCTTGATATGTAGTTTGAACTGTGTTGAATGCATTTCAATAATCGCAGGTTGAGAAAAAATCACACATTTACATATTAATAGTCTTTGAATTTCGTATCAGCTAAGATTTGAGTGGAAAAAAATTGCGTATCAATCAAGTTCGAAGATGACTTGAGGAAAATGTGACAGATTTAATAGAATAATTTACAGATTCATCATCAAATGATATATGTATAGAAGTATGTTTATGTTTTGCAATTTAATAATATATACGTTTACTTAATTAACAAAAAAGTAATAAATAATAATATAAATAATAAGTAATCTGTAATATAATTAATATAATATGAATAATATGAAATAATTAATTAATATATCATTAATATAAGTAATATGAATCAAGCGACGCGGTAGCGTCGCGACGCCAAGTACATAAAAAACAAGTACATAAAAAATAGATCCGAGCATTGAGAGTCACTGTTTTTAACGCGGCGCTACCAAGTACCTTATCCGGAATTTTAGGTCTAAGAAATTTTCAATTAAAATATTTCAAAAACTAAAGCCGTAATCATAAATCTAACGATACTTTTATAACATATGTATACAAGCTTTTGATTGCGACCAGTTTGAATAAGATTGGTGCAGTCAATCCCGAGAAATAATGACCGCATATCAGAAATGTGACATTTTATCGTTTTCCTTCATTTCCAGGTTCAGACTCACATACATATGCTCGCACGTATACACGCAAAGCAAGTTTGTCCCTCAAGGCGCGTTTGCAACGCTCATGTACAATTATTCGTTCGAGTGTGCAAATACGCCTTGAGAAACAAAATTATGTGTGTATATGCGTAACATTGTGCGTTAATTTTTTATTTACATATCATATTATATTAAAACGCAATAATATATTAAAACGTAATACAAGTAGTATTCTCGTCAAGATAGAGCGCGTATCTTGGCAGGAAGCGCGCATTACGACTCTTTGGCCGACAATTGGTCCTTGCCCCAATAGCCAAGTCTGCTAAAGCAGATCTTGTCAGGGAATCTGTTAGAAATTGTTGTCGACAGAAAGATTACAGAATCGATGCAGGTTCTGATATATCATGTGATGTCGTCAGAATGTCAACAAAAATATAACAAAGCTTGTTAACATAATCAGTTACCAGATTGGCAGCAAAAATCGAACAGATTCTGCCGGCATAACTTAGTGGCAGATTGGTGGCAGAAATTGAACAGGATCTGTGCGATGCAATTTGACAACAGATTGTCGGCAAAAATCGAACAGGATCTGCGCATACAATCTCTGATAGCAGATTGATGGCAGAAATGGAACAGGGTTTGCATGATTCGATAGTTCCTTCACTTACCGCTACGTGAGCTGTACTTTCTCGTAATTGAATTTCTGTCAGAAATATATATAAAGTCACGAATATGAATAAAAGACTAAAAATATAGTAATTATCATTTTAATTTTTCACTTTAATTTCTGATATCTGATACAAGCAAATGAGAGTCAGAATATTAAACTGAATCAATATAATATATGGAAAATTATTCATGCACTGCCTATTTGAGGCATAAAGCAAGAATTTAATTCTAAATAAATTACATCTCAAGTTTTACAAGTTACATTTACTTTATTATTAATTTAATTAAATAGAATTGAAATTAGTCCTTCGCTATATGAAATATAACTATGATATAACATATTACATATATGTCATTTTCTATAAGAAAATTCTAATTAACTTGCCGATAATATTGTTATTTAGCACCTGTAATAATCAATTTTGTTGCATTTATATAATATTAATAAAAGTGCAAATCTTGTGAAATTTCTGCTGTCCATTTGCCATCAGGTTGCATCCGCAGATTCTGTTCGGTTTCTGCGGACAATCTAACATCAAATTGCACGCGCAGATCCTGTTCGATTTCTGCTGTCAATCTGCTGTCGGTTTATGCTGACAGATTCTGCTAGCAGAACCCAAGCTTAATGCGGACTCAGTTGATGCCAATCTGCCGCAATATTCTGTTTGAATCTGCTTGCATGCTGCTGACAGACTGCTAACATTTTGCTTACTGGGTGGTTAAGTCGGACAATGCGTAAATATCTCAGCGCAGTAGATCTGGCGCGTGATTGGTGGCTGGAGTACCACGTGGTACTCCGGGCCCCAGGATAGGAAGAGAGAGGTGAGTGTGAGCCGGGAGATCGGGTGACCCAGAAATAATGGCTGTGCGAACTATACACGTATCCAAGAACACCGTCGATCACGTAATTACTGCCGTCTCCCGAGTCTGACTCGGGAGACGGCATTAATTACGTGATCGACGGTGTTCTTGGACATGTATATAGTTCGCCCTCCAGTAGTATCTTTAGTTTTATGCAATACTTTTACAAATAGATCTGCATTTAGTTAGAATGATTCCGCAGCAGTGTAAGTCAGTTATTTCATTACAAAGTAATTTATTCAATTAATTTTACATATCGAGATTCTTGGTTATTAATAATTATTTATTGTTTATAGTTTTTGGATTTTACCACCAACCATCAATGGTACTAAAGAAAATGGAAAATTTTGCAACAGAGAAGGTTGATGGAGAGATGATAAAGGCAATCAATTTTATGATGGAACAGGTATAAATCTTTCCTTTTTTGCAATTGAAAACTAAGAGAAACATATACAGAATGTTTTGTTTAAAAAATTATTTTTAATCCTATTTATATATTTTTTTTCCATTTTTAGCTGGAGAGCTTAACGCAACCTGAATTAGCATTTCGTTTAACAATGAATTGCATAAATTGTTATGTACAACCTCAAAAGATATGTCATTTATATAACGATAATAGATGTATTTGATGAATATGCTTTATCAAATGCTGTTAGGGAAGAAATATATAAATGTTATCCGAATGCAAAATTAGCACATTTGAAAAGCAGTGGGAATTTTCCATACTTATTTATAAATATGGAATAAAAAGCATTTATATTTTAATTCTTTTAATGTATTAAAAGAATTTTGTACGATTCAAAATAAATATCTTTAAATGATTACAATTATTATTGTTATTCTATTATTATTATTCATTATAATTAACAATGATAATTATTGTTTTTTATACATAATGATATAATGATCAGATAATATGCAATGAAGCTGTATCCATGTAGTTCAATATAATTTTTTGTGAATGCTAGTATTTTAATTTATGAGATGAGATCAAACTTAGCGAGATAAAGATTTATTGTGTATACTGGATATACTAAGTTATATAATGGTATATTATCTTACTACTAAGATAAGATAATATATCTTAGTATATCAGTACCATTATATAACTTAGTATATCCAGTATACACAATAAATCTTTATCTCGCTAAGTTTGATCTCATCTCATAAATTAAAATACTAGCATTCACAAAAAATTATATTGAACTACATGGATACAGCTTCATGCATATTATCTGATCATGCATATTATATTATCATTATATCATTATGTATAAAAAATAATAATTATCATTGTTAATTATAATGAATAATAATAATAGAATAACAATAATAATTGTAATCATTTAAAGATATTTATTTTGAATCGTACAAAATTCTTTTAATACATTAAATCTCAACATTAATACTGATAATAAGATATTATATATTATATCACAGTAATTATATCATTAATGAATAGAAATTATAATGATTATAATCATTATAATTTCTATTCATTAATGATATAATTACTGTGATATAATGATTATAATCATTATAATTTCTATTCATTGTTAATTATAATGAATAATAATAATAGAATAACAATAATAATTGTAATCATTTAAAGATATTTATTTTGAACCGTATAAAATTCTTTTAATACATTAAACCTCAACATTAATACTGATAATAAGATATTATATATTATATCACAGTAATTATATCATTAATGAATAGAAATTATAATGATTATAATCATTATAATTTCTATTCATTAATGATATAATTATTGTGATATAATATATAATATTTTATTATTAATGATTATTATTATTATTATTGTTATTCTATTATTATTATTATAATTTAATAATATATAAGCACAAAATAAGCAGAAGTTATACTGAATACGAATTCTAGTAAATCACAGTAATTATATTGTTACGCGCGCGCCCGAGTCGTCACGGCCGTTGTCTGGATCCCGTCGGCAAGAAGATTATTTACAAACAACGACTGTCAGCTGAGTTCGGTTCCAGCTGTCTGGCTGCGCGGACGCGAATTTGCATCGAGCCGCTAATTTTGTGTTGAATCGTTTTGTGTTATCGTTTGTGTTGCCCTGTATTGGGAATTAAAACTTTTAGTTCTTTTAAAAGTGTTTATTTATTTCGCGCGACTCGCGAGCGGCCGATCTTTCCGTGCGCGACTTCGATAATAATCGAAGTCCTCGCCGCGGGCGTAACAATATCATTAATGAATATAAACACAAAATAAGCAGAAGTTGTATGAATTTTAGTAAATAGAAATTATATCTAATAAAAACAGAAATTATATCAATATATATGAATACAATTTTTTGATTATTAATCATTAAGGACCGATTTTTCCAATTTCTTGGTAAGTTTTACTCGACAGGTAGCATATTTTCGTCTCTTTTCAGATAAGTTCTAAAAAAGAGACGAAGATAGACTATCTATCGGGTAAAATTTACCAAGAAGTTGGAACAACCGGCCCTGATACTAATAAACAGAAATACTGAAAGTAAACATAGTTTTTAAATGTAATTATGCAAGCAAAAATGATAAGAAATAAACATAAACTTTAAATTTAATCATTATCATGTAGTCCTCGTTTGGTAGTTTTCTCATTGTGCCACTGTCTGCTAAAATCAATTTAAAAAAATAATGTCATTAATATTGTTGTATTTATAAAATAAAGAATTTTTTAAATATTTTGTAATGACAATTTTTATTACTTTCTTGGTCTTGCTCGTCTGCCCCAATTATAGTGAGCAGACGATAGTTGGTAGAAGAATCTCATAAATCTCTCCTGCTGCCTGCGTGCTCCTGCTGCTGTTCCTCTTGATCTTCGAACTAAAGATAAGGTATGAAAAGAAAAGATATGAAAAACATAAAAAGTATGAAAATAATAACTAAGATAAATAGATAAACTAAAATATAATTATTACTTTGTTCATTTTCATAATTAGCGAGATCGGGATTATCGAGATCAGCCACAATAATATTAGCGGCAGCATTGTCAGAGTCAGCGATGGGAGCAGCAGCAGATTTTACGCCGGAATTAATGCTGGCGTTGGTACCAGCAGCAACAGGTTTGGCGATAGAATCAACAGCGACGGGTTTGGTAACAGAACCAACGACGACGGGTTTGGCGGTAGAATTCGTACTCTACGTTCAGCAGCAATGGGTTTGACGACGGAGGCAGCTACGGCAGAATTAGACGTACGTCTAACAATAGAATTATCTGCGAGACCAGCGGAAGTGGCGGGACCGGCTATGGAATCCATTTCTTTTCCGAATCCGAACGAGAACTCATTCATAAAATCGTCAACTTCTATGATCATCTAAAATTTTAAATTAAATGAATATATTTAAAATCAAATGAATATTATATAAGTTGTGAAATGAATATTATATAAAAAATTATATAAGTTGTTCAATAAATAAGAATATATTAAAGATGATGTCATAATACTTACTTCTTTCTCTGCGGCCATGTTTGATTATCGATTGAATCATCGATTGAAAATTTTTATAGATATGTATCTTTTAGCAAAAAAGCTTGTTTTTTATTGGTTGTAATTTATAGGTAGCGCCATATTGCTTTGAGAACAATTTAAACAATTAATGTTATTATTGGTCAATTACAGCTATTCTGAAGAATAGAATGGTTGTAATTGGTGAATGATGTTATTGTTTTTAGATCAAAACTTACTTCAGTCAAGAAATGTTACATGGTTAATGTACTGCACGGAGTTACAATCGTTAGTTACGGTTATAAACGTGCTTCACATACGTGCTTCACGTATATTAATTAACAACGATTCTGAGCAATAGGTAAATGGCAGTATATTATGCGCTTGGCAATAAGAATGCCTTAACACACAAATTTATGTACATATCGGAGCATATGTATGTTCTATGTACATATGTGAAAAATATATAAATTCATCTATTAAGGCACTTGATGAGCATATGCACATCACAATTTTATCTTATTATAGTAGCTGTTATTATTGCAGCTATTACAAAGATAGAAACTATCACTGGCTATCATAAAATCACTGACAGTAATAAAAAATATCCATTTGTTTGATATTATATAAAAAAAGGTATATATATATAAGAAATATATATAAGAAATGGTTCATTATTAATTTTGTAATCCATGATATTACATATAAATACATTTAATTCAATATTTATATATATATATATATATATAAATATTGAATTAAATGTATTTATATGTAATATCATGGATTACAAAATTAATAATGAACAATTTCTTTATTTGCAGGTGTCATTAAATATTGAATTATTTATTATAGCGGCTGCTCTCTGGCGCTGGATTTCGGCTGCCATAAGCGCTGCACTAAAAAATTGGCTGCTATAAGCGCTGAATAAAAGACTCAGCTACATTAGCACTAAGTTTTACCTTAACATTTAAAGTCTTATCTTAAGTCTTGTCTTAATTGACAAGAAATGTTTACTATATAAGCACCGATTAAAAGATTTGTCTGCTTTCAAAGTATTAAATAGTAATAGTAATAAATAAATAATTAAATTTTTATTGTTAGTAATAAATAAATAATTAAATTTTTATTGTATATTTTTTTGTGTGTCCATTTATTATGTCTGCCAATAAAGTAAATGATAATAATCGATCCCTGAATGCTTACATGATGCAGATAATATTTGAAAATAAATGGTTAGAAGATATTCACATTGATCATTTTGGATTATTATTAAAATCTTGTTCAGAGTATCGACCACGTAAAACGTGGAGAATACAATGTCCTGATACAATCGAATCTGTTTGTAAAGATCAGAAACATATTCAAATATTACATAGCTGTAGCGATATAATTACTAATGAAAATGGACATTGGGTTTGTAGCTACTATGATACTAAAACTATTTATATTTATGATTCATTGAACTTAAAACGTTTGCATGCACATCATAAGATATATCTTGACAAGTTATATCCATTTTATCCTTTTAATAAAAAACCAGTACGATTTCCGACAGTTCAAAATCAATCTAATGCTTACGATTGTGGTATTTTTGCAATTGCATTTGCAGTATCACTTTTATTTGGCCTTCGACCAGATACAGTTATGTATGATCACACTTTGATGCGTCAACATTTGGCATATATGTTTCAATCAGAAAAAATAGAACATTTTCCTCGAATTATAAGACCTAATGATCCAAAAAAATTATTTAATTTGGATGAAATACAAAAAAGAGAAACTTTAGCTAGAAAAAAACGAGAACGTTGACAAAATAAAGCTAAACAGGAAAATTCTATAGATATTTAATAAAATTAAAAAACGATATAACTGAAATGACACTGGAGAAAGGAGAGAAGAAATATGATAAAATGTTAGATCAATTTGATCGTTGTATAATAAAAAAAAATAATGTTTTAAATAAATGTAATGATGTTAAGCACTCTATTCATGGCACATTTAAGAATTCCTTTTCATCACTATATATTGCTATAGATGAAACGCAAAATAATGAAAAGAATTATACAAATAATTTTCCTACATGTATTCAGGAAAACAAGTTATTAAGGAAAGACAGTTCTTGTATAACAAGAATTAATGAATAAAAATATACTAATTTTGTTGCAGATATTTTACCTCTAAGCATGCAATATATATAGATTATTCTTAGAGGTGAGTGGTTAGAAGATATTCATATTGACTATTTTAATTTATTATTGAAAAGTTGCTCAGAATATCAATCACACGAATCATGGAAAATTCAATGTCCTGTTAGAATTGAACCTGTTCCTAAAAATCAGAAACATATTCAAATATTACATAGTTGCAGTGATATAGCAACTAATTTAGACGGCCATTGGGTTTGCAGCTATTACGATACCAATGTGATTTATATTTATGACTCATTGAATATGAAACGATTACATGCACACCATAAAATCTATCTTGAAAAATTATATCTATTTTACTCCTTTGATAAGCAACCAGTACAGTTTCCAACGGTCCAATTACAACCTAACGGTAATGATTGCGGGGTTTTTGCAATAGCCTTTGCAGTATCTCTTTTATTTGATCTTCAACCAAATAGAATTATATATAATCATAATTTAATGCGTCAGCATTTAGTAAAAATGTTTCAATCAAATAGAATAGAACATTTTCCTCAAATTACAGAAACAATTAATTCAGAGCAAATTGATCACACATATGAATTCAGTGAGGATAGTATTGGTATTAACAATATTACAGTTATTAAAGATTTAAGTAGAGATCAACATCAACATGATTTAAAAAGAAAAATGAATAGTCATAATTGTAGAGACAGTAATAAAAAACAAAATAAGAACTCTGACATTTATACAGAAGATGTTTTATCGCGTAAGGCTGATGTTATATATACAAGTAAAAAAAGTGTTCTTAATAAAAAATATTATGAATTGCATAGAAATGATTTATTAACAAAAAAAAGTAAATATAATAAAAAACATAATGATATAAAAAAATCGAATAAGGAATATTATGAAAAACACAAAAATGATATAAAGAAATCGAAAAGGGAATATTATGAAAAACACAGAAACGATATAAAGAAATTGAACAAGGAATATTATGAAAAACACAGAAACGATATCAAGAAATCGAGGAAGGAACATTATAGATTACATAAAAACAATATACTATTTAAAAAAGAAATTTACTGTAAGAATAAAATGAATAAAACAAAAATAAATAATAGAAATAAGCAAAATATTAAGTATTGTAAATAAAAATGTATTAGAAATATATCAAAGCTTCTTAGGATGTCATCGTTGTCTGAAAATAGATTAGAGGCTGAACGTATAGCAAAATGGTGCTTTTATATAAGAAAAGTTAATATTTTACAAATGAGTAGAATATTTAATAAATGTAAACAAAAAATTGAAGTTTGCTTGACACGTGCAACAGAATGTTCTTCATCAAAATTTACAGATTATGTAAATATGTGGACAAGATAAACATACCGCTTTTTCGGAATTATATTTTGCAGAAAGTATTTATCGTGAATATAATATTTCTAAACCTATTATAATGAATTCTGAAGGTAAAACAATTAATATTTTACCCTTAATAGAATCAAAACATAAAACTAAAAAATCATGGCGCTTTAATTCTCTTTGTAAAATAGAAAAAAATATTATTAATGATATGAAATGCTACTTTGAAGAATTTTTAAATTGTACATTACAAATTTTTCGTAAAAAAATTTTATGTTATAATTGTTCCAATCAGATAAATCAAGACAAATTAGGCCATTCTCATATCTGTTATATTGATTATAAAGTATGTAGATCACGGTTTTTACCTATTGAGATATCTCCTCATTATCCGATGATACGATATATTAAAAGATTAATATATAATTTAATCAATCTTAATAAAAAACTAAATAAATTACATAAAGCATTAAATGATGTTGATGTAAATACACTTCAAGATATTGTAAGTGAGGCTAAACAAAAAGCAAATACTTTTACACAGGTATACTACGGAAATTAATTTAAATGAAGATGAAATTCAGTCTCAATATTACTTAGCTTTTAAAGCATTTACAAAACGATCACTAGATGTTTCAAAATATGCCTGTATTTCTTGTACAAAATATTGTTTCAAAAGAGATATTCTCATGATAAAAGTTGATAAGAAAAATGATAAAACAGTTTGGAATAATTTTATTAATGATGTAAGATTAGAAATAAATGAAAATTGTGTTATTTGCAAATTTTGTGATCAATATTTTAAAAAGAACAAACTGCCGCCAACATGTAGAACTAATAAACTCGAAATTCTACCAGTACCAAAAGAAATAACAATATTAAATGAATACGAACGAATTCTTATACAACGAGCAAAAGCATTCCAAATTGTGCAAAGAGCACATACGGTAATGAATAAAAATCTACCGCATAAAGAAATGATTTCAAAAGTGAAAGGCAGAACATTTCATTTGCCGTTGCCATTAAATGAAACTTTAAAACAAATTTGTCCTTCGACTGAACCTATTAATCTAAATCATGAACTGCATATATTAGTTCGTGGTATTCCAACTAAAGCGAATATAATTTGGGAAAAATTAGTCGATGTAAAAAAAGTATGGACTGCCTTAATATGGTTAAAACAAAATAATCCTATATATTTAGATATTATGCTACCAACATCTCCTGAGAATTTGTTGCATTCCGAATTACAAAACGTAGAGTTTCAAGAGCATGATTCGGAACCTTATGACAACAATTTGGAGAAAGATAATGAAGAAAATGAAAAAAATAACACTTCTAAGAAAGAATACAAGGCATTATTAACTCAAATGTCGCAAACAAATCAATATTATGAACAATTTACAATATATCCGATGTATGAAAAAAGAATAAATGAATCTGCAACTACGCTTTATCAAATGATAAAAATTCAAGACGTTCCATTGGATAATCGTACTAAAGATTTGGATGTAAAATGTTTCCCTGATTTATATCCGTATGGTGTCAATGGACAGCATAAAGATAGAAGTGTCCGAATAACTGATTTCGAATATATTAAAATGAGACTTATGTCGCAACACTCGCAATTTAGATTAAACATACAATATCTTTTTTATTACATGATAATAATATGCGACAATTAAATAGTGGAATATTTCATAAAATGAATGTTACCAATCTTCGTGAAAGATATACAGCTGCCTCTTATTTGGAGCAATTATCTAATCAGCAGCTTGAGTCTAATTTAAGTACTATATTTTCCAAGTTACGGAATACAGAACAATATTGGAAAATACCTAGAAGTAATTTGCATTGCATGATATGTAATTATGGACCTGCTACTTGGTTTCTTACCCTCAGTCCATGTGAATGGTTATGGACAGATTTGATAGAATATCTTCGAGAGATAAATGAACCAATTGCCAATCAAAAATCTGCGAACGAGCTTATTGCTCTCGATTCTGTATCAACTTCGAGATTCGTAGATAATAAATTTAAAGCTATGCTTGATTTTATTTGTTCACCTGATAATCCAATCGGAGAGGTCACTCATTACTTTTGGCGCCGTGAATATCAAGGTAGAGATATGCAACATTTTCATTTGTTAATTTGGATAAAAGATGCCCCGATAATTGGTACATCATCTAATGAAGATATTTCATCTTTTATCTTAAAATATGCCACTTGTAGAATGCCGAATGAAAAGTTATCACCTGAATTACATCGACGTGTAAATACACATCAACGACATAAACATAATAATTACTGTTTGCGTACCAAAAAAACTAAAATAGGTTTTTCGAAAGTATGCAGATTTGGCTTTTCACGACCCGTAACAGACACTTTGAAACTTAGAGACGTTATTGTTTCAATAGCGGATAGAAAAAGATTGAAAACAAAAAGCAGACTGTATGACTTGCCACGATCTAAAGAGGAAATTAATATTAATGATTATAATCCAGCTATTCTTACTGCTTGGGAAGGAAACATGGATATTCAGTTTGTAGGTGAAAAATCTACGTTATTGACTTGGTATACTACGAAATATGTTTCTAAAGCAGAGAAGAGTAATAACGCAGAAAATACATTTGAAAAGATAAATTCAACAAAATCGTTAAGAAGTTGTCTTTGGAATATTGGAATGCGTATGTTGAATCATAGAGAATGTGGAACTCTTGAAGCTGCTGATACTTTGCTAGGATCATTATATGGTCATCATTATATATCATTATATGGTACTGACAAGGAAACGACTATAAGATGGTTAGATGTAAATATGATTAGGAGTAGAAAACTTAAATCTCACAAAGAGATTGAAATGTTAGATTCTAAATCTGTGGATATTTTTTATCCTTCTTTAATTGATACATATTATCCAAGCAGACCTAAAGAATTAGAATCTACTAATTTATATGATTATGCAAAATGGTATGATAATACAAAAACTAAACCAATTTCTAAGACAACAAAGTATTACATGCTTAGTGAATCTCTATATTTAACGAAACGTAAACGTGGATATCTTATCAATCATTACAAATACAATGTTCATACTCAACCTGAACGTTATTATTTTTCATTATTGTTATTATTTCAGCCTTGGAGAGATATTAGTGAATTAAAGAATAGATGTGATAGTTATGCAGAAACATTTTCTTTAATACAATTTAAATTGAAAGATGCTCTTCAATATCATGAAAGAATAATCGACATTCAGTAAGGTATGGATAATATCCAAGAATTAATTGAAAAAAAAATATCAGAAGTTACAAAAGATGAAGATGAAAACAACTGTCTTGATGTATTAGAATGTGTTCCTGTCGAAATCGAAGGAGCTATGAAAGACTTTAAAGATATTGGCAATAAATTTGATGAAGTTAACGTCGAAGAAATGATAATGCAATTAAATATTGATCAAAAACGAATCTTTGATACAATTACTAATGGTATATTTGATGAAAATAGTGACGTTTTTAGACTTTATGTAAGCGGTGAGGGTGGTACTGGAAAGAGTTTCTTGATAAAAGCTATTAGATTTTGGATCAAAAAGTATATGGGAAAGGATACGGCAATAACTGCACCAACTGGTATAGCAGCTTTCAATATTGATGGACTTACTATTCACAGATTGTTTCAATTACCGGTAGAACATGGTCATACTGCCAAGTATAAACAACTTTCTGATATAGTACTTAAAATTATACGAGATGAACTTAAGAATGTTGTGTTAATAATTATCGATGAAGTTTCAATGATTTCAAATATTACTTTAATGTATATACATCTTCGATTAACAGAAATATTTAATACCACCGATTGTGATAATGGATGGTTCGGCAAAAAACATATACTTCTTTTCGGAGATTTATTACAACTTCCACCTGTGCATGAGGATCCGCCATTTATTGAATTATCTAAACTAAAAATTGAGAAGTATATTGGTGCAATGGGAGCTGTAAATTTATGGTCTTTATTTAGTTATGATGAATTACAAATTAACGTGCGACAACAAGATGATAATTCTTATCGAGATATATTAACGAGAATTCGTGTTGGAACAGTAACAGATTCAGATATAAGTATTTTAGAAACAAGGAAAATAAATTTTAAAGAAATTAATTGTGATGGTCGATTACAAGAATTATGTGATTATTTTCAAAGCTTACCAATGGATACAGTTTGTTTAATTTCAACTTGTGCATTATGTGATATTTTGAATACTGCAATGTTAAGTCGTATTTCTTCGGATGAGATAGAACTCGTTGCTCAAGATCTAACAGAATGTGCACCATATTTAAAAAAAAAAGTTATAAAGATATTAAATAAAGATGATGAAGATAATTCTCGAACAGCTGGCTTAGCGAGAATTATAACTATAAAATTAGGAGCACGTATAATGATTAGAAGAAATATCGATGTTAGTTTAGGTCTTGTAAATGGTACAATTGCTACAATTACATCAATTATGCGTAATGCATTAGACAATGAAGTAGAAAAAATAAAGATAACAGTGTCATCAGGAATAGAGCATATTATAGAACGCATAAGCGTTAAATTTGAAGTAATGGATAGAGCATTTGTTATAAGAAAACAATTTCCTATATGTTTAAGTTATGCTATGACTATTCACAAAAGTCAAGGTTTGAGTTTAAAACATGCTGTTGTAGATGCTGGAAATTCTATATTTAGTTGGACAAATATATGTCGCTTTTTCACGAGTAACTACGCTGAGTGGGTTGCATCTTATAAATTTTGATCCTTCCTCTGTCAAAGCAAATGAATTAGCTATAATAGAATATAATAGATTGCGAAAACAATATCGGCCAGATCTTTTAAATATTAATATTTCGAAACAACATGTCCGCAAAGTTCGTGATATTATTTGGATGTTATCAAAGAATGTTTCAGAATGTCAAATTGATGATAAGAATATTAATGATTGTACTTTATGGTATGTAAAAGGACTACCAAATATTGATAATATATCTATTATGCTAATGTTTCAATTCAATGTATGTTTCATTCTCCTATTTCCAGAAAATTGTTACTTCATCTTGAACATTCAAATATTATAAAAAAATTTATTAATTCTTACGTATCAGACGATAAAACTATTAATATAATGGCAATACGTCAATTAGGGATATAAATATATTGAAAAATTTCAACAAGATGTTAGTGAGTTTATTATAGATTTAATTAATAGCATAGATAATATAAAGAATGTAATTGAAAACCAATTAAATATAACTTCACGATGTAAGGTATGCAATTATACAAATATAAAAAAGCATACAAATTATATATTATTACTTCAATTACCTGAAAATTTAAAGAAATCGTATACTCTACAAGAATTAATACAATATAGTTTTACACGTTGGAATAATGTTGACAAAATATGTACCAATTGTAGTGCTATTTCTTTGCTTGAAAAGACTAATATAATAGAGACAAAAAGTATTATTATCTTACAGTTACCATTATTTAAAATCAATGATATAAAAATTATTAAAATAACAGATTTAAAAATTAAAGCTGTACCTACGGAAAAGATATATATTGCTGGAAATACATATAAAGTCATTAGTGGAATTTTTCATGAAGGTAAAAATATACTTGATGGACACTACACAAACATTGTACGTGCTAAAGGTACTGAATGGCAATTAATAAATGATTTAGTAGTACAAAAGTGTAGTTGGCCTTGAAGTGCTAAAAATGCATATATACTTTTTGCAGAAAAAATATAATTTTTACAAAAAGGTGTGATATCCCCCCCCCATCTAAAAAAACCTTACAAAGGTAAAAAAAGTACGCCAAGTACATAAAAAATATTCTACCATATGCAATAAATTTATATTTAATATATTTAATAAAAATATCCCTAAAAATAGTTTACAGAAATTTTCCCTAAAAAAATAGTTGTCCTAAAAGAAAAACAAAATTAAATATGAAATCAATAATTAACTAGCCAAGTACATTGAAGCAATTCATAGAGATTTGTAATTTAAAATATGAAATATAATGATATATAATGATATATAAAAATACATTATTATCCAAATTTAAATAAATATTTGTACAATATATGAAATAGCACTAATATATTGCGAATTTTATCATAAATAATAAGTCATAAAATTATTTAACCTTTACAATAACATTGATTACATTAATCGGCAATTTTAAATTTAGAAGTGTCTCAAAAAACTAATCGATTTGTTTCGAGATCATCAAGTTTTACCAAGTAAATCCGGAACTAAAGAAATTAAGAAAAGTTACATACAAAAACTTAATTCAGATAGCATTATAATATATTTATTATTAATAAATATTTAATTTTGAAATTAATTCTAAGTTTTACCAAGTAAACTTGCAATTGAAAAAGTTAAAATCAAAATAAAAAAAACTTGGCGTGCTCTCGCCGCATTATAATATTCATATTGTTATGATTAGTAAATATTATAATTACAGATATGTAATTAATAATTACAGGAATATAATTTGCGAATCTTAATTTTAAATATTTACTAAAATAAAATTATGTGAATTATGGGATACGACGAGAGCACGCCAAGTTTTTTTTATTTTGATTTTAACTTTTTCAATTGCAAGTTTACTTGGTAAAACTTAGAATTAATTTCAAAATTAAATATTTATTAATAATAAATATATTATAATGCTATCTGAATTAAGTTTTTGTATGTAACTTTTCTTAATTCTTTAGTTCCGGATTTACTTGGTAAAACTTGATGATCTCGAAACAAATCGATTAGTTTTTCGAGACACTTCTATTCAAAATTACCGATTAATGTAATCAATGTTATTGTAAAGATTAAATAATTTTATGACTTATTATTTATGTTTATGATAAAATTCGCAATATATTAGTGCTATTTCATATATTGTACAAATATTTATTTAATTTGGATAATAATGTATTTTATATATCATTATATATCATTATATTTCATATTTTAAATTACAAATCTCTATGAATTGCTTCAATGTACTTGGCTAGTTAATTATTGATTTCATATTTAGTTTGTTTTTCTTTTAGGACAACTATTTTTTTAGAGAAAATTTCTGTAAACTATTTTTATGGATAATTTTTATTAATATATTAAATATAAATTTATTGCATATGGTAGAATATTTTTTATGTACTTGGCGTACTTTTTTTACCTTTGTAAGGTTCTTTAGAGGTAATAATTTTACTACATAGTAAAAAAGTATTATACTTAATAAAGTATTATACTTAATAGTGAAAATATATTTATTACAAAATTTTTTGACAATGTACAGGTTAATTAAAATGAATTCGATTGAAAATTATGAACAATATGATATTTATGAAAATTATGATCAATATGATATATATGAGGAATTAATACAACGTCGCGAACGTATACTATAACGTTATATTAAAGATGCACGAAATTTCTTCGAATGGTGGTTTGCAGAGGATTTATTAAGAGATACATATTTTGAAAAAAATCTGTAATGTATTATATTCTCCCTCGAATTGAAGGTCTCTTCGTAAATCATCAAGAAGAGGTCTTCCAACATCACCGATTGAACAGCTTCTTTTATTGCCTTTGATTTATCTACAGCATCCTTCAAGTTTCTAATCTGATTTTTGGAAAAAAAAAACACAGAGTATTTCGTATTGAAAAATTTAAATGCTGTTTATACAGGATAGAC